TCTCATGTGCATGTCTCCTCCTGCGTCAAAGAGGCGAAGCGGCTTCGCCGAGTATCCAGGATTCGTGCCGCTGTAATGGGTCATTGTACCGAACGAGCACGCGGTCGCGCCTTCCAGAACTCCAGATGCTCGGACCAACAGCGGCCCAATGATCCCAGAAACCACAATGGCGGCCCGGGTGATCTGTACAATGCTGCCGTCACCTCACGCGCGTCAATTCTCGGTCCTTTTGCCACGAGTACCGTCCTTCGCAGGCGCCAGGCGCAGCTTTGTGAGCACGACCTCCTGGGGTGCCGGAAAGGATCCAACTACTCCTTGCACGATCGCCAAGCAGCCTGCCATATTGGTCGTCACCGTCGCCGTCGCCGTTCTGGTTCTTTCGACCCCCTCTCTGGAGATCTCCCTTGTCTTCTCAGGCCTTCTGCCTGAGCACGCTGCCAGGGATCCGCAGCCCTAGTCTACCTCGTCTCGAGTGTTGATTGATCGATCCAGCAGGTTGCGGCCGCACAACCCTGTCCTCCATCCATCCACCAAGCTGCCTTCTGATCGACAGCTGTCGCACAGAACGGGAAGGCCATGACAGGGCGCTGGGAGGTTGTGCAATGCTGCCGTGCGTACGGCCCTAGTGGCGGCCCGGGAAGCGCGATACCTACGCACCATTGGTATCCAACTAATGTGGTCTCCCCTTCATCTATACGTGAGGCACCTAATCATCCACTGTGGGTAGATAGATGCCTAGGTAATCTGACTCTCCGCAGCCTTCTCGGCTAGACCGTCTCTGGCTTATTTACCTTTGACCGATGCGCCGAGAAGAGTAACATTCCCCATGGCTACAGACTACGACGCCTCCACCGTTTGACGAAACGACGACACTTTGCCTAGCTCAAACAACACTCGCCCACTCTTTCAGAAAGGTACCCGGCAACATGGCCCGCCGATGCTCGGATGCGAATTATGCCGGCTGGCTCCTTGGGTGTCACACCCACTAGAATTCCGCAGTGGAGCACGGACACGGCTAGTGTCATGTGTGGTGAGAGCTGTTTACTTTTACCCAGGATGGCGACGATGACGACGAAGGAGGGAAGCGCAGTTTGTCATGGAGAACGTGACCATCAAGCGCACCGCTGGCATTTTTTTCCTTCGACTGCTCTAGTGCACGGCTAATAATGCCGTTGGCCGGCTCTGGGTCAGCCACAGCGATTCTACGGCTTCGAATTCGAATCCATGGGTACACCACCGCCGCCAATAGCAGTTCTTTTCTCTTTCTTGTTTTTGACAACTAGTGTACAATGTTCTAATCATCCCGAGATTGCCCGTCGCCCACTTGCTCTCCCAGCACCCGTCCAGCACCAAGAACGAGCTACTGGCTACCCTCAGGCGTCAAAGCAAAGCCTCCGATCGCCATAGGACCTCATCCCTCGTTCTAGTTACTACTGTGCTAATAATGGGTCGTTGAACAGAATTTTATCGGAAGGTGCGCCGGCGGCAATGCAGGCTAGGTGCAGTGTGATGAGGTGCATGCTGTCCGTGTATGGCAATGTAAGAGTGGAATATTCGTCCTGATCCTATTGTTGGACCCCCCGCCCCTGGTGGTACTCATCGTATGCAAGCAGCATCAGCTAGGCCTCTCCGTATTCACGGTACGATGGCGTGTCATCCGCGCCAGAACTTAATGCGATGCTGTGGCTAATGAGCTTGGGTGCATCGCGGGCGGACAGACATGGTGGCCGGTTGAGGAGAGCTACAGAGCACTTGTGACCACGGGACCGTATCCCATCGAAAATTGCGACCGTTTTGAGAAGGATGGAGAAGGAGGACGGGAACAAGACTGTCGTATCTTCGAGTCAAGTCCACACTCTCTCGGACCGCACGCCTGTCGACATCGCGATGCTCGGACTCGGGCTCCAGGTTCTCTCTCGGGGACATGGTCAGGTGCTAGTAACGTCGGAAACCTCCACATCGATCAGGTGTCAGAGGAGGCAATCTGCATCCGGGCGGAACTCTGTCCCCGGCCCCTGTTCCTTGACTGAGCCATTGCACGACGAGCCAACTCCATACAGTTAGCATCTACACATGGGGGTTACTGATTCTGTGCAGGACCAACTGTTGCGCAATGTTGGTCAGGAACGGCCGGTCTGCCGTGAGAATCGGTACATTCGCCATGTTTGCTGACACATCACAGCAAGCACGAACCGGGACTTCATTTCAAGGAATTTGAGTTTCTGCACAAGATCATGCATCAGAGCACAACGCAGATGCCGTCTCAGGCCTCCGGCGTCCGGGGCTGAGCACATGTGGTGTGGCCAAGGTGCTCGTTGGCCGCCAGGGAATTGCCGACGAAGCTCCCCCTCCCCTGTGTGCGCCGGATTCGATTCCATCGTTGGGTCAGGTGACTGACATGTCTCGAAGGTGGATGTGTGACAAGTGACGAGTGAGGACGTTCCGCATGTGGATGACATAAGCAGGTTGGACAAAGCACATTGGATTATCTATCTATCCCGAGGGAGCGACTCCGATTGGTGACTGAAAGTATCAGGCAATTGCTATCAATTGAAGCTATCAACACATGATCCCACGGCACCAAAACCCGATTCTGCTGGAAAGAATCAGGAATACCAGAATTCCTGTGGCACGGCTGATCTGTCAGATCAAGTGGCTGAGGATTTGACGAGGAAAGTGGCAAGACGCCTCGTTGTGCTACTCGAAATTGAGAGGTCCTCATCTAAGCTGCTGACTCACTCGCGTGCCTACATCCGCATTTATCTTGACGTCTTCTGCCAATTCATAGCAAGGGAATTCCGAGACAGATTAGATCATCAGCATGGAGGCATACAGACCATCGCCGAGTGCCGGCTCAACGGCTGGCCTCTCTGCCCTGCTCGACTTTGATGCCACCTTCTTCTTTCTCCCACTCGTCACGCTGCTGGGCTTCCTACTCCCCATCATCTACCTCTTCCCCCCCGTTCCCGCCACCAAGGCCGACGCCTTACAGCAGACACACGACCGCCTCGGCCTCGGCCGCGCCGAGAGCAATCTTCGCACCCACAATCGGCCTGCCGCCGCCGCCGTCACACCCGGTGCCTCGGCGAAGCTCCAAGCCCTGACCATCTACCCCGTCAAGTCGTGCCGCGGCATCGAGCTCACGCGCTCCCGCGTCCTGCCCACGGGTCTCGAATTCGATCGCCTCTTCACCTTTGCGCAGCTCAAGTCGCCCTTCTCCGTGTCCTCGACTGCCAACGCGGCGGAGAAGGAGGACGGCCACGTCTGGGAGTTCATCACGCAGCGGCAGTTTGCCCGCCTCGCCAATGTCAAGGTCGACCTGTACGTGCCGCGCGTCGAGGATGGCACGCGGGCTGACAAAGACACCGGGTCGTGGATCGTCATGCGCTTCCCGTGGAGGGATCTTGGCATAAGGGGCGTGTTGCAGACCATCGCTGCCAAGCTTGTGAGGGGGTGGTACGCCGAGGCCGAGAGGGAGTTCTTGCTGCCCGTGGAGTTCCCCACCAAGGCCGAAATTGAGCAGAGGGGATACGAATTTGAGAAGGTCAAGATCTGGAAGGACGTTGTCACGGCGCTGAACCTGGGCGTCGATGTGCCCGAGGAACTCAGGTCCTATCTGGGCGTGAGCAACAAGCTCGGCCTCTTCAGGATTGATCCCCTGGGGCTGCGGCAGGTGTTCCGCTGTGCGCCGCGCAAGGAAGAGATTGGCTACCAACCCACCGTGGGCTTCCAGGATGCGGTACGTTATCAGGCTCGCGAGGATTCGAGGATTCGGCTGACGAATGTCTAGTACCCCTTACACTTGATGAATCTCGGCAGCTTGCAAGATTTCGACTCTCAGGTGCCCAAAGACGGGGACCTCAAGTACCTGGACGTCAGACGGTTCCGCTCGAACTTGATCGGTATGTTGTTCCTTTCAACGGGCTGCACCTCACACCGCTGACCTCTGCACCAAGTGACGGGCGCTCCTGCTTACGATGAGGAATCTTGGCAATCCATCCGCTTCACCCCTGGCGCATCCACCTTGACATCGGACGCCAGCTTTCAAGTCTCGTGCCGCACCGTCCGCTGCAAACTCCCCAATGTCGACCCTGCCACGGGCATCCGCCACCGCGTCGAGCCCGACCGCTCGCTGCGCAAAATCCGCGACGTCGACCCCGGAGCGCCCAAGATGGGATGCTTAGGCGTGCAGCTGTGCCCGCTCTTCGAGGACGCTGAATCGTGCGAGACTGAGGATTTGCGAAGCTGGCTTGAGGTCGGCATGACGATAGATGTACAGTCCCGGGGTGAGCACGTGTACATCAAGCAGTGAGAGGTGCAAGCCTTCTCGTTTGGGCAAGGAAACGATAAGGCCGAGTTCTGAGCGTCATGCGTATGGAGCATTCAACAGGCATAGAGCACCACCGCAACCAATCCATAGAAGTGAAGCAAGCATTGATATCTTGAAACAAAGAAACTTTCGCCAGCTCAGCCAGCCCAATCGTACTCTCCCGCAAAATCAAGTCATGTGCCACGTTCCGCAAGTCATTACAGCCGTCCAACCTGGTATCCAACCGACCCCGGCTCAGCCAGCCCAAATCCCGTTGACATGCAGCCACACAAGTACAGACACCCATCTTCATCGTCATCTTGCCGTTTACGAACATCATCATCATCATTTCAAGTCCGCCGGCGTTAACGCCTGCACCATACTCGTACCCTCGCTGAAGCGCGTGCGAAAGATGCGGTTGGCGTTCTGGAACATGCCGTCCTTGAGACTGACGACGATGAACTGTGACCCCTTGAACCGCGTCTTGATGAGCCGGCCAATGTTCTGCGTGTGGGAAAGATCCAATGCCGCATCGACCTCGTCGAGAATATACATGGGCGCAGGCTTAAATTGCAAAAGGGCCATGATGAGCGAGAGAGCGATGAGAGACCTGTAGCTGTTAGTCATGGCATGCTGTGTGAAAGGGGCAAGTTTGATGGCGGTCTCACCTTTGGCCACCAGACAGCTCCGTCAGGCTCTGCTTCCAGACCTTGCCCAGGGACACCTTCACCTCGAGGCCGTCGCTGATCGTTTTGCCCTCAGGCGGGTCCAGCTTGGCGAAACTTCCTGGCAGCAGCTCGTTGAAGATCTGGCCAAAGTCGCCGTTGACCTTGACCCACGTCTCGTGCAGAGCCTTCTTCTTGTAGTCATCCAGGCTGAGAATGGTCTCCTCAATCTTGCGCTTGTCGCGGATGACCGTCTTCATCATGTGCTTGAGCGAAACCTCCTTCTTCTCCACGCTGTCGATCATATTCATGACCTTGGGGTTGATCTTCTTCTTCATGCCCTGGAAGCGGTCCGTCAGGTTCCGCAGCGTGGCCTTGCACTCGCTGATGTTCTGGCCCTCGAAGTCGTACGGCGTGCCGGAGCGACCAAAGTTGTCCTTCTCGTCCGCGATCCAGTCGTGGTCCTTCTCCATGTACGCGACCGTCTGCAACGCCGACTGCTGCTCCTTGTGGAACTTCTCCACCTGGTGACCGAGCGTCTGCATCTCGAGGCCCTCTTCCGCGACGCGCGCGTTTTTGGACCGCGTGGCTTCCTCCAGCGCCCGCAGCTCGTCGTCAAACCCGTGCAGCTTGGCCCGCTCATCGTCCAGCTCGGCTTGCACCGAATCATGCGTGTCCTTGAGCTCGGCCTGTTGCTGGACGAGGCCCTCAATATCCTGCTGCTGCGCCTTGATGGCGATCTCGACTTCTTGCAGCTGCTCACGGGCGCCAGACAGATCCCCGGCCACTTGCTCCGAGTCGAGCTGCGCGCCCTGGAGCTCCTTCTGCACCGTCTTGACCGAAGCAGCACTCTTGCTCAGTGTTGCTCGTAGCTTATCCAGGGCTTTCTGCAGCTCGATCAACTTGGCGTCCTTGTTGCTGTCAAAATCTTGCATATCCTTGTTTATCCTCTTTTCGTCGGCGAGGGCTTCGGCATGTCGCTTCTTTGCGTCCGCCATGTCGTTCTTCAGCTGGATGATTGTCTCTTTCATGTTGGCAACCTCCTGAATGATTGAGGAGGACGAGTTGCTGCCAATCTGCTCCTCAGCGAGCTTGATCTCGTGGCTCTTGAGGTCCAGCTCCTGCTTGATCTTGCGGGCGTGGTCGAGTTTAGACTTCTCTCGTGAAATGGTCACTTGAAGGCTCGTCAGCGTCGACTCGGCCTCCTTCAGCTGTCTGGTGAGCTCGTTCAGCTTTTGCAAAGTGACCAGCACTCCACTTGAGTTGGGTGAGCTGCCGCCAGATAGTGTACCTGAAGGGTCGTAGGCATCACCCTCAAGCGTGATGCTCCTCATCCTGACGTTCGGGTCAAACGTGACCTTCTTGGCTGTCTCTGCGTCGGCACACACAAGCGTGTTGCCGAACACGTACTCCATGGCCGACGACACTTCATCGTCGTAGCCAACAAGAGACAAAGCCAGATCGACCTTGCCGGGCGCAATCTTCTGCGCTGTAGCAATAGTCTGAGCTGAAGCCTTGAAAGCTGCAATCTTGTTGAGGGGAATGATGGTGACTCGCTTGCGAAGCTTGCCGCCCTTCAGAAGCTGTGTGCCGGTCACTTCAGAGTCTACCACCACGTTGTAAAGGCGGCCCCCAGCGCAGATCTCGAGCGCAGTCCCGGCTTCTGTGTGATCCTTGTCGAGGGTGAATAGCTGCGCAACAAGTCCCTTGACCTTGGATCGATCGAAATTGGGCACTGGGTCGTGGTAGTTGAAGTCGATGTTGGCAACCTTTCTCTTCAGTGCATCCGACTCTTGACGCAGAGCACGGATCCGTTGTTGAAGACCAGACTGCTGCTGGTACATCTCCTCCTCTTGACCAGGCTGGAAGCCGAGCTTGCCGAGCTCCTTTTCGAGTCTCTGCTGTTGGGCTTTGAGGTCCTCCAGGTCGTTGAGAAGGCCTGCGTTCTGTTCCTTGGCTTTTTTCGCACGAGGCTCCTCTTCCTTGATCCGCTTCTCGAGATGGGCAATCTTCATCTTGGCTTGCTCCTGCTCGGTCGCCGCTGTCGTTGCGCGATTCCTGGCGTCCTGCAGCTGTCCCTGATAACCACCTTCCTGGCCGGCTTTGGACGCGACACCAGTCTGTAATGTCTGCAGCAATTCCTCCTTGGAATCTGCCTCCCGGCCCTGCGCCTCAACTTCGTCCTTGGCAGTATCGTACTTTGCCTTGATGGCTTCGTACGCCTTTGTCTTCTCCTGCAGAGCTGTCTCGAGCTCGGTCACGGTTGTCTCGACAGCGACCTTCTTCTCAGCCTCCTCGTTGAGACTGGACTGTTTTAGGTCCATGACGGTGGCAAGGCGCACCAGCTCGTTCGAGTGCTTCTTGACCAAATCCTCTAGGCCTTGCGCCTTGCCTCCCTTCTTGAGCTCCTTGTCGCGCTGGGCCCGGACCCTCTGCACATCCTCCTCTAGATGCGAGATTTCGCTCTTGAGGCGGACTGCCGATTGTTCGAGGTCCTTCTGCCTTTGCTTCTTGCCGTCCAGATCTGCCGCCGACTGCTGCAGCTTCTCCTGACACCTCACATAGTCGTGGGCGACGACCACTCTTGTGAGGCGCTCCATGTCGTTCTGGGTTTGTTGGAAGTCGAGGAATGCGCGCTTTTCGGTTCTCAGCTTCTCGAGTTTCGGCTCAATCTCGTCTCGCAGCAGCTCCGTGATCTCCTGCAGCTTCATGTCCTTCTTTGCCATGGTCTTGAACGCCTTGTCCCGTCGGTCCTCAAACATGCGTGTGCCGGCGGCTTCTTCGATCATGGAGAGAATCTCGACAGGCTTCATGTTAAGGACTTTGGTGATGCGTCCCTGCATGATGAGAAAGTTGGGGTTGTTGATGTTCAGTTGCACCGACTGGAAAAGGTTCTGTACCGTCTGCTGCTGCGCCCTATGCCCGTTGATCAGGTACTTGGAGGTTCCGCCGAGGACGATCTGCCGGGTGACGCTGACGGTCGCATATTCCTCGAAACCGATCGGCGACTTCTTCTTGTCTCTGTTGTCGAAGACGATGGTGACACTCGCTTTGGTGACACCGGCTTGGCCACGCTTGTAGATGAGGTCCTGATCCGCGGGGTCAGCGCCTGACTGGGCGGGGTGGCATCGGGCGCGCGAGAGCATACCTGGAGATTCTGGGCTCGCACTGTCGTCATGTTCGTGATGCCGAGGACGAAGCAGATTGCGTCAAGGATATTTGACTTGCCGGACCCATTGAGACCGGTGATTGAGTTGAAGCTCTCGTCCCTACGTCGTATCAGTGCCGGTTACGGCTTCCGGTCACTCCTGACCGTTTGTTTACTCACCATCCTGAAATGACCGTTCGAACGGCGTACGACTTGAAGCCCTGCACAGTGTCAACAGCAGCGCACGCATAGAAAGAGAAACATCACTTCAACATACGTCTATGATAACCTCGATTACCCTCATGCTGTCGTTGTTCGTTTGTCGGGTTCCGCTCGGTGTGGGCTGGGCATGATGGCACGGCGAAAGCGATGACTTGGTCGCGACGAAAGTAAACAAATGCGACCGGGTGCGATAAGGGGCTTATCAGCCTGACCCTGAACCAAAGCGCCCCGCGATGAATGAGGCTTCACTGAGGTGCCTTAGCAAGGGGGGGAGGTCGCGTCACGTGCAGCTCGCTTCCCCCACAAGCGCGATCGAGTGTCGCCCACCAACACGCACGCATACACACACACATTGGATCTCAAGGGAGCACCACAACACGCTAGTCCCGATTCGCTCTTGACCAAAACAAAGCGGATGCCGGTCCAAAGTGACATGGAGCTTGGATGCGGGCCCACGCGCCAACAACCTCGACACCCATAACTCCCCAGTCTACCTATTCGACATTGGAGCTCTTGCACTCGCCCTCCATCAACATACGGCTACCTTATACCAACCCTATTCCCACCTACCACGCTCGATGATTGCTTCTCTTTCCGCCATTTCATAGCGATACCTCAGCGCTAGCCGCTCGGAAGCCCTTTGTTTACCATGGCCGCCATGCGTGGAGCGCGCGTTCCCGTCGGTTCGGCGACGTGGATCGCAGGCGAGCGATCCTCTGCGGAAGATATTGTCAAGACTGAGACTGAAGAGTTCTCCTACTCCGTCCGTAACGAGTTCGACTGGTTGAACGAGCACATGGCCGACGTCTTCAATGAAAATGCCATGTATGTCACGCTTCATCCCTGGGTTCTCTAGTATCGACAAGACTAACTAATATGCCACCACCCAGTAACGTTGCCGAAATGTTCAAGACGCCCGGAAAGCTTCGGGGCAAAACGCCTCGAACAGCGAGAAAAGTCATCACAGGAGAACCTCGCGTTGTAAGCATTGATAGTCATGCCAAATACCATGGCTTTTTATTTTTATTCTTATATGCTGACTGTGTTACAGCCTCTCTCAGATATCTTCTCCTCCGCGTCGAAAGGAGTGCCGACACCGTTCACACAGCAGCTAGGTCGCCTGCAGTCGCCGAGGTTACAGGCTTCAAGCTCCAGGTCGCCGCTCGCCAACAAGATCGCGTCCCCCTTGAGACCTCTACCGTCGATGCGGCCTCAACCTACGAAGAATGCAGCACTTCCAGCGGACTCTGGCTATTATGGAAGCCAGTCTCAGGACGTGGTGGATGTTGACCATCATGTTTACGCGACGCAGTCTACACAACCTTTCAGCCCTGTTCGAGAAGCCGACACAAACGAAGACGTCGCGTTCCACGTCGATGAACCCTCGACACACGAAAGCCCGACCGTCACCAAGACGATGCAATCGCCCACCATGACATTCCAGACAGCACGCGAGGAGCAAACGACCCGAGTGCTCAAGGATGTCACGCAAAAGATGGCCTCGCCCGTTCCCAATCCTTCCCCAGTACGAAGCCCGGCGAAACAGACATCGACATATCCCATCATCTCGCCCCCCTCTCGTTTTGCGCACTCCTCATCTCCCAAGAAATCCTCGCCGCTCAAGACCTCGCCTGCCAAACACTTTGATGAGCCCATGTCGGACGCTCCATCAGAAGACCACAGCCCTCTTGCGGACGAAGCACAGTCGCCTTCCGAGGGCTCAAGCCCCATTCGCCCCGTTGTTCGCAAGAGCAGCCTCAACTTTGCTTCTCTGCCTGCTAGAGAGCCTTTGACTCACAAGAAGAGCCTAGGGGCGCGCCAGTCAAGACCCAGCCATGATAGTCGGCAGAGCTATCTTGGCAGGCATACTGGTGGGAAGAGCCTCAGCAACGTTGATATTTTGAGCTCTACCGATGATGAAGACGATTACCAGGACGGCATGGAGCTTGACGGCATTGTTGCTGGCGCGCACAAAACAGCCAATGATGAGGTATTCGCTGATGATCACAACAAGGTCTACACTCAGAGGCTGCAAGACCAGATCAGCCTCCTTGGAAAGTCGCAACCGAACGCCAGCAGGCCCTCAAAGTCCATCCCTAGTTCCGCGGTTCTTCAAGCAGCCGCTGCTGTTGCATCAGTGCCAGAAGCTAAGGAGAAGACTCCAGAGAAGTCCCCGGCCAAAACACCATCAAAATCGTCGCCCAAGAAACCAGCTGCGCCCCCTACTCCGGGAGCTTTCCCTGACGATGACGAGGAGGAGGAGGAAGAGTGGATTGCTCCTCCACCAGTCCCGGAGAAGGATCATATTGAATCCAGTCCTCGTCCTGCGCTTCCAAAAAGTTACACGGCGGACATTATGGAGGGCATTCACGGAATTGACACGGTTAGCGGCGCAGAGTTTGTTCTGCCCAAGCAGCGGCAAGCTGGCAGTCGCTCGACCTCTCCTCAGCGTGGCCCAGCGGTGCCTGAGCGAACAACCAGCACGTTGGGACACACTAAGTCTGCGTCGGTATCGGTACTGCCCGGGCTCGGCACGGCCTCTAGACCAGCAGGCATCAACTCGCCTCTGAAGGCGATTTCCGTTTCCAACCCAGCTCTCATGTCCGTATCGGAGACTGGACGTCCTCAAACACCCCAGTCTCCATCACGCAGCTTCCGCGACAGCCCGCTGAAACAGGTTAAGAACAAGCTTTCTTCGATCATCAAGAGTTCCAGAGGGCTTCTGGCAAGCAGTGCCGCTATCAGCGCCGAGGGCAAGTCCATGCTGTCGCCATCGTCAACCAGGCTTGGCTTCCATGCAGGCCCCTCAACCAGCTCTCTTGCGACGTTGGCCACTACTGCTGACTCGTTGTATCCCGACCTATCCCAGCGCGCCACAAATGATGCTCCTGTTGTTTCCAGCTCTGGAAGCCCCACGCGCCCGGTCGCAAAGCGAACGAGGTCCTCCACCGAAAGGGAAAAGGAAGAGAAACGCAAGGAAAAGGAAACACAGAAGGAAGCCCGCGTCATGAACGAGCAGATGGACAAATTGGAGAAGGCTCGCGAAAAGGAGCGCGAGAAGGCTCGTGTGTTCAGCAAGGAGCAGGAAAGGATCGCCGCCTTTGAAAAGAAGTTGCGGCTCAGAAGAGCAGGAGGTTGTGCAAACTCCCGCCCCAGCAGGAAAAACCTACCAGGACAGCCTCGTAAAACGAAGCTCA